CACGACCCAAGGCCGGAAAAGTAAAGAAAGTCTGAGATCATCCGAGGCGAAGCCGAGGATGACAAACGGACGATCTGAGGCNCAAAAAAAAAAAAAAAAAGAAAAAAAAATTATGTCTCGAACCCGAGATCTTTGCGTCCAAAAGACAATCTCCTACTACCATACCCATCTCTGCATCGTTGAACTGTCGTTTGAACTTCGTTAATATCCATTGTTGTTACGTTAGCTTACCCGAGATATCTGAATTTTTTGACGTTTCAATTAAATGAATTAAACATTATTAAGAAATTATGTGTGGTAAAAATATGTTTCCTCCTTGCTTCATGAAGAAAAACTTCAAGATACGCGGAGTCAGTATTATTTTTACTGTTTTTTTTTTCTTTTAAAATCTCGCTCAAATACGTAAGAAAATGTTTGATTTCGTATATCTGTAGGTCAATGACAGTGAAGTTTTCTTTTTTTTTTTTTTCTTAATTATATAAGAAACTAATATGTCAGCAGATCCTGTACTACAAATTGAGCTCTTGCATTTGCATTTGCATTTGAATTGATAATAATTTCCAATATCTAAGCGCATCAAGTCAATGAGAATGTACTGCTTGTATTGAAGTTTATACTTATTTTGTTAACAATAAAGGGGGGAGTAAATAACTTGGGGTCATGAGGTGACAAGTGCGTATATAATTAATAAATGATTTGATTAATTTTATTACCCCAAAGCATCCTTAGTACATGGTGATAAGCGCTCACATCATCAATTATTTATTTTATTAATAATAGAGTGAGAAGAAATCGCCAGACAATCCTGTAATGAATTATTATTATTCCTTAAAAAGAAAGTGTCCGGTTAATGCCCCAAATTATCTGGTAATAGGTGATTTTATTAGTAGTTGCTAAATTGTATTACTAATGAAGTAGTTTATTACCGCCCCAAATCATCTGGTCATATTATACAGGGTTATAGGCTTTTTTGTAATTAATCAGTTATATATTTATTATTAATAAATTGGCCAGTAATCGCCAAGAGCCACTTGGTATTAGAATGATATAAGTTATGAATTATTTATTTTGTAATAAAAAATTTGCAATTAAACGCTCCGGGTCATCTGGTGATAGTCGCTAATGTTAATTATTATTTATTTTCTGAAAAATAAAGTGTTTAGTAAACGCCCTGGGTACCTTGTGATAGGGTGCGTTGTATAATTATTTTTTTTTTTTTATTTATAATCAAGTGGCTCGTAAATGCTCTGGGTCACCTGGTAGTAGGCGCTTATGTTATTAATTATTTATTTTGTAATAAATAATTTTCGATTTAATGTTCCGGTCGACCTGGTCTTCTAGTGATAGTCGCTGATGTTATTAATTATTTGTTTTCAAAAAAATGCATAGGCCAGTAAACGCTCCGGGTACCTGGTGATAGGGTGCTCATGTAATTAGTTGTTTTTTTTATTAATCATCAAGTGGCTTGTAAATGCTCTAGGTCACCTAGTGGTAGGCACTTATGTTATTAATTTTGTTTTTATAAATAATAAAGTAGTCAGTACACGCCCCAGGCCATTTGGTGATAAGTGCTTACGTTATCAAGTATTCATTTTCATTTATTAAAAGTGGCTATTAAACGCTGTGGGTCATTTAATTATATGGTCTTGTTCCATAAATCAATATTCGTTTAAATAACAAAGTGGCTTGGAAATGTCCTGGGTAACTTGGTTATAGGTGCTTATGTTATGTATGATTTATTTCTAATGATGATAAAGGGTCGAGTAAATAACCTGGGTCATCTGGTTATTGAAACTTCCAACAATAGTCAAGTAACTGCAGGGTTATTTGGTTTAAGGCGTTTGTGATTTTAGACCTTATTTGAATTTGGCACTGTGCGTTGGGTAATACTTTTAGGATGTTGTTATAGAATAGGCCTTAGTCAGTTCAATCGACCACTCTACCCGTGGCCAATCAGCATGAGGCTTTACAGCAGCTAATCAGCGTAATAGGACAGATTGCCATAGAAGCATAAGAATAGAGCATGCACGGGGTATGTAAGCCTGTAAGTGGCAGCGAGATTAGCGTAGAGAGAGATAGCTGCAAAAAAAAAAGGAATCGTGTCCTTGTCTAGCCAAGCGCTGTAATTGGTTGACTCTCTGTCCTGTTCTCCCAATCACGCAAGGTAGTGCACACGGTCAGAAGTTCCAATTTTGAATCTGCCTAACCCAACGCTGGGTCAGTTGCAATTTTGCTGCAGTACCAAAGTTGACCACTAGGAGGATCAGTGTCGAAATGGTAGAATCAGATGATATAACAATGGTAACGTAGAAGGTGCACCAAAATGTAAATACAAACTCTAACATTTCTTATTACAATATTGTTCACCATAAATTGTATTATTTGTTACGTCACTGGCTTTATTTGTCGAAAACTACGAGAAAAATTTGAAAAATGCACCACATGTCAAATTACTTGAAATAGTAATCCTGGAAACTCTGTTAAACCAGAAGCATTATTAAAGAACTTAAAAAATAGAGAAGGACTCATCCATGCAAATACCCATTTTTACAAACTCTTTGATAAAATAGAAAAATATTTTAGGGAAGCCATAAATAATTAGCTTGTCAATGGTTACGAAAATTTCGTTGGAAATCTTTTTCGCAATTTTAAGTTTCAGTTCCTCTGTTAACTACATAAAGAGGATGCAATATTTAAATCTATCTATTATAACACTAGCATGAAAATAAGACAGTACGTTAACATACAAAATAAGAATGATTTAAAAGATAAAGTAGAGAGAAAAAAAAATTATCGAAATTGGTTTTAACCTAGTTTTTAATTCAATTATTTATTGCCTTCATTGTATCTTATTTTACGTATTAGTAGTAGATTGTAAAGTTTGTAAATTGTCAAGAAAGTGAGCTTTGAGCAATCAAAATTCCCGGCTTGCTCACATATGTGCCGTCTTATGGAGACATTGGGCACTACAGTCACTTGAGCTCTTCGTGGTCGTCTGGCGACGCTCACTAGACCCACTGCTTCTTCGGCAGCCGACCGATACACTGTCTCTCTTCTTGATTGCCACTTTACAGCTGTTATGTTACTTTTACTGTATCAGCCTAAAGCTGACCTGGCTGTATTACGTGTTTATAATACATTGTGAGATTAAATCTTTTGTGCCTTTTTCCTTCGCGAGTGCCTACCGTCATCTCCGAGCCCACTACTCTGACAGGTTATGGTCCCCCCTTTTTTTCTCTCGAGAGGACGAGCCGGCCTTGCGATGAAGGGCTTAAGAGGAGGAAAGCAGTGAGTTTTTTTTTCTCAGAGTCTCTTGCTTCAGAGGTTACAAGTCGTGTTTCCTGTATCAGGGTGATAATGTGCGTGAGCGAATGGTGCAGGGCACAGTGCTATTAAATTTTTTATTGTCCGCGTGCGGCCAGCGTAGTTCAATGTAGAAGTGCGTGTTGGTGGTCGACATAATAAAAGCCCGCGCGAACACCACGATCACGCAGACCTGAGCGAGGCCGCCATTTTTTGGCGCGCACGGGCCTCGAGAGCTACATGCACGTGAACAACATACGCGAATTCTTGCTTGAAGAGGATAAATTTTTTTTCTCTACTCAGAGTACGTTTTTTTTTTCCTATTNAAAAATCAAAGTGAAGCGTGTGTGTATTATTCTGATATTTTTAATGTGCTAAATTTTTATAAATTTATAAAAACATAAATTATTCAAGTTCTAAAAATGATTATTTTATAAATATCAAGTTTCAAGAAGTTACATTAAATATCGGGGCTTACGTTTTTATTACTCAATTTTTTATTTTATACGAGGAAAACTCAGTATTTAGCTGTACAAGTATTTAATACACATTTAATGAGTAATATATGACCGGACATATAATAACTGTCCAACATTCAAAACCGCTTTTGAGGGAACATCACATCAGGAATAGATATAGGTATACGCATGCATGCGAGAGCTGCGAGCTGCGAGAGCCGGGAGCCGAGAGCCGAGGCAGCTAGAATACAAAACATATATATAGCTATACCCGTGTATACGCACATATTCCTTCCCCCTCTACTAGGTACCTATCGTACGCACAATTTGGTCTTCTCCTCCGCTTCTGACATGTGTGTTTATTTCGGCTGATTTGCCGCGACGGGGCGCTCAAAACAGTGGAAAAAAAGCGACACACTCTCTACCATTGGCGCTGGCAATCTCCCTTCTTATGTCTGCTTTCGCACACTCCAAAGTTTTCCGTTTAAAATATATACATGACAACTTTATAGATACGTGTATGAGTGTAGTTTGAAGTCTTGTTAAGATGGCTCCAGTGGCCTCAATGCTAAAATTATAAATAACCCAACCGAGATTAATAAAATTGAATTTCATTCTTTGAATTCCCATCTTTCTATTCGTATAAAAAAAAATTAAGGTTGACCATGAAAATTGTAAGAAAGCATGCTTACAAAATCGTAGTTTTAAGACGGGTTAGATAGGAAATGCAAGCTTACGCGATATACAACCTACTGCTGCACTTATATAAATAACCCGTAAGGTGTNCGGGCACTACAGTCACTTGAGCTCTTCGTGGTCGTCTGGCGACGCTCACTAGACCCACTGCTTCTTTGGCAGCCGACCGATACACTGTCTCTCCTCTTGATTGCCACTTTACAGCTGTTATATTACTTTTACTGTATCAGCCTAAAGCTGACCTGGCTGTATTACGTGTTTATAATACATTGTGAGATTAAATCTTTTGTGCCTTTTTCCTTCGCGAGTGCCTACCGTCATCTCCGAGCCCACTACTCTGACATAAATAAATAGAGTTACGATTATATAATACAGTTTTAATATTGCGCCTTTCTTACTCATACGCCATCTGACGAGTGTGAGCGGTACTGCCACAAAACCGCAACCCGTTGGAGGTGGTACTTCGTACCCCCTGTCTTATCTTACACCGTGTTTAGTACCGTATAGCCGTATATGTCAGAACGAGCAGCCTATATTTTTTAAATGTCTATGCTCGCTATCTGACTTTCGTCATTTGCACGCAAGGTCCTTTCTTCAAGTTCAAAATAAAGTCGCCATCTGTACTGTAGAAGAAAACGATTTCTACATTCCAATATTGGTATAGTAAACGACAATGAATCAATATTGTTGGCTGTTTTAAATATAATGGCCATGTCATACAATTAATTTTTTGTTTAGTATTGTTGACACCTACTTATTTACAAGTTCAATGGCCAGCAACTGATTATACTCGAAAAAATTAAACAAGATGTTCAACAACAATAATGGTAATCCGTTTGCTGGTTTATTTTCAACCAATAGCCCCGAGAAGCCATTTTCTTTACGAAAAAGTGAGTCGATTATCCAGCAGCCTGTTGGTAAAAATGAAGAACAAAATATTAGTGAGGACATTCTAACGGAGCACAATTTCGCTTCTGATTACAACCACAATGAGGCAGAACTTGATGAAATGATAGCTGATGTCTTTGGAATTATCTTGCATCGTAGCAAAACTACAAAATTTTCCCAACAATTAATCTTCATTGATGAAAAATGTTTGGAACCTGCCATTTTTGAAAGGCTTTTATTGACTAAACCAGAGTCCTTGTTAATGTGTAATAAGAGTTTTGAAGTCCAAGATTTGGATGATCACGTCATTGAAACCAAAATTTTACCATATTTATTTGAAAGTTATTGTCGATTACAAAGGTATAGACTAAATCATGGTTTACTTGAATCAGTGGAGAACGTTCGGAAAATTATTCTGCGTAATGTAGGTACTGGCCTAGAAGATCCAGAAATTTTCAAAGAACAAGAGGTAAATTACTCATGTACATATTGAATTAAAATTTCTAATTTCCATAGATATACCTTATAATATTATCCAGATTCATAAACAGCTCATAGAATTATTTCAAAATCGGGAAGTTGACTGTGATAAATTATCATTTTTTGTACATGAGGTTGTGGAAGTCTTATGTTCTGAGAATGAAGGCTTTGACACAGATGTTATCCGGGAAGCGTTTTGTCCAATTCTTGATATAATTCACAAAGAAGCATTAGAAAGTCAGCTTCTAATTTTGCAGCCATATTGGTTTTTTGTGCTGCAAACCTTTGCTAAATCTATCCCCTTAGCTAAGCTGCTTATAAGTCATAGCAGTGTTTTTGAGGGTAGCGGTCAAGCTTATGCTAACACATTATTAGGAAATTTGTTGAGTATCAGTTGCCTTCCCAAACTAGACAATCAATCATTTCCTGTGTTTGTCAAACCGTTTCAACAGGTAATAAAAATATAAGGTCATTAATTGCTACCTATAAAGTGTTTTGTTGTCTTTTCACTAATGTGCAATATGTCATATATGTCAGCAAAATAATGCAATGGATGGAAATATATGGTCAGCATTAAATATATTAAATGATTCTTTGTATAAAGTTTTCCGTGCTCTTCTCAAATATTCACGAGAAGTACGGCACTTGACTCTTCAATGGATAGCTAATTGCTTACATGCAAATGAAAGTCGGGGAAAATTATGGAACATTCATAATAATGTTGACTCAACCAGTATTTTGACGGTATCAGATGGATTCATGCTAAATTTAGGAACTGTTTTGCTAAAGCTATGTCAGCCATTCTGTGAAAATTTACAACCTGATGACACCAGAATATTGAAAGTTGATCCTACGTATAGTGCTGCAACGGTATGTTAATAATTAATATACAATTGTTAAAATCTATACCTCGTCTATTTTGAAATCTAGTTGTGACATATTTAACGTTTTAGGTGAACAGTGAACAGGACGGTCGTGAAAGAGGATTGCACATGCAAGGTATGCAGGTTAAAACTTGTTTGATTCCGACGCCAGAAGGAGAAACTCGCCCAGTGGCGACGACGTTCAGCTTCATCACAGAGTGTTTTCACTTGACTCACTGTGTTCTTGACCTTGGATATCGCATTATTTTGGATAAAATGCTCAAGTAGAAATAAAACTAATGAATCTTGACAAGTATTAAACGATAAACAAGTATTTAATACTTTTTATAACTGATTAGATTCTCTTTTTAGGATTAGTCAAGATTTAGCAAGGATTCAAAGGATGTATAGAGAATCTCGACACAATGAAACCACAGAAATAAACGAATTTATTTCTCAAAGATTAGAAATAGAAATGACAAAGTAAGTTTTATTACAAGAGCTAAAATTTTGTAATAACTTTTATTTGTTTAGGGGTGGCATTCTGAGTATGAAACGTATGTTAATTTTCGTATAAATAATTCATGGTATAAACATTTTTAAACTCTACCGAAAAACTATCATTGAACTACTACTTTTGAAAAATTAAAATTTAATCCTGTATTATTTCTCAAAATTGCGACATAAGGAGTTTTTAGTTACAAGTACGCAAAACTCAACTCAAGAAAAGATGATTCGCTTACTATCGAGTAAGGACTCGATATATTGTTTACGAGCCGATGGCAAGAGCCATATTAAAGTTTATAAGGAAGCCTTCTCGAACGAGTTTCCTAAACTATTTTTTTGCCTAAAAATCCAAAATTTAGCGGCGACGGTGCTGTTATGAGGTTAGAAGGCAAGAAAAGCCTTTTACGCGTTCATACACAAAATTAGTTCTTCATGTATAAATACTTTCGCACAGAGATTAGAAGGGAGATTGCCAGCGCCAATGGTGGAGAGTGTGTCGCTTTTTTTCCACTGTTTTGAGCGCCCCGTCGCGGCAACTCAGCCGAACTATACGCACGTTTCAGCAGCGGAGAAGACCAAATTGTGCGTACGATAGGTACCTAGTAAAGGGGGAAGGAATATGTGCGTATACACGGGTATAGCTACATATATGTTTTGTATTCTAGCTGCCTCGGCTCTCGGCTCCACGGCTCTCGCAGCTCGCAGCTCTCGCATGCATGCGTATACCTATATCTATTCCTGATGTGATGTTCCCTCAAAAGCGGTTTTGAATGTTGGACAGTTATTATATGTCCGGTCATATATTACTCATTAAATGTGTATTAAATACTTGTACAGCTAAATACTGAGTTTTCCTCGTATAAAATAAAAAATTGAGTAATAAAAACGTAAGCCCCGATATTTAATGTAACTTCTTGAAACTTGATCTCTATAAAATAATCATTTTTACAACTTGAATAATTTATGTTTTTATAGATTTATAAAAATTTAGCACATTAAAAATATCAGAATAATATACACACGCTTCACTTTGATTTTTAAGTTTATTCAATAGAGAATGACTTTTTCTGTAATTCAAATGTCATTCTTCAACACATGTAACTTTTCTAATAAGAATAAGTAATTGTGAAAATATGTAGAAAAATAAT